AAAGTGTTAAAAAATATATCTGTAAAGTTATAGTATGTGTTACATATTGACATGTCCCCACTTTAATTGAACAATAATAGATATGTCCTTTAAATTGACCGTCAAGAGGTGCTATTATAGAAATTGATCGACAGAAAACCATTTGTATTTGCAAATTAATTATTTTAGTTTCATTGGTGTTTTTACTCACGTCAAGCGGTTTTAATTTATTTTACTCACGCCAAGCGGTTTTAATTTATTTTACTCACGTCAAGCGGTTTTAATTTATTTTACTTACGTCAAAGGTTTTTGATTTAGTCAAATCGTTAAAATGGCTTTGGTGAGAAATTATTTTTTAAATCGATACTTTAAGTATTTCGTAATCCGAACTATGCGGGATTAATAAATTTATTTATTTATTTCCCTCGCCATTATTATAATAATATTCGCAAAACCGGTTTTAATCACCTTTTACTTTTCAAATTCCGGAAGAGTAAAGATGTTAGATACTAATTTAGTAATAATTGTCTTGACTAAACATATGAATAAATAGTTTAGTCAGTTAGTCAGTGCTCATTTGAGTTACGCGGCTAGTACTGATAAACATCCATCTTTAATGATAAAGTAGATTCATCATTAGCATACACATACACGAATATGCTGTGGTGCAACTAATTGAACTCTTCCAAGTAAAAATGTATATATTACACATGTTTACTTAGCATAGTCAAACTTGTCTGTTTCACATATTAATATTAACATATAAAAAATCCGCCGTGGCAAGATTAGTATTAGTATTAATATTAATAATCTTGACACAACGGATTTTGAATAAAATTTTCTTATTCATTCACTGTGGCAAGGTTTGACTGTATGAAGAAGAGTTCCTAACAAAAAAAATCTTTATACAAGTCAAATCTATCTATTCCATTATAGTAGACGTTCGAATGTGACAATTATTAGCTGACAAAATTTCAAGAGTGGGCAATAAGTAACATGCGCACCGAAAAAATTTGGTTACACCAAATTTTTAGCTGCAATGATAAAAAACGTATTTTTATTTTTATTTAATTATTCATTTTTTTTAACATAATTTCTATATGTAACATGATTTCTTTAGAAAATTTAATAGCTTAAAGAAAACCCTTAGAAAAAATCCTAGAAAGACATACTGTATATATATTAATATATACATTTATACATAATTTATTTTATATTTATACTTCATCTACTTCAATAATATCAGTTTTATTATTTAATTCTATTTCATCTTCTCGAGAAGGAATAGATTCATTATTTGAAACAGAACTTAAACTCCTTTTCAATGAAAACCCTTCATTCGTTATGTATTGAAAGAAATTGCCAACTGCACCTAAATTGAATGCTAAAAAAAGAATAATAAAAGTAAATCAAAGAATTGATTAACTAATTCGAAGATAGAATTTTTTTTTTTTTTTTTTACCTGTTAGAGCAATTAGGGCTACAATTCCATTTTCTTGCTTTCCAGGCTATAAATCAAATTAATTAATAATTTTAAAAAAAAAAAAATTTTTATTTTTAAAAGTTAAAATAGATAGATACTTACATTCATAACAGTTACTACTTCATAAACCAAGCAAGGAATGTATTGTATAAGAAATACTAAAACATAGGTTAAAATTTTTTTGAAAACTTTTCTTTCAAATTTATTTTTTAATATGCCACTACTACTTCCATTGTTACTTCCACTATTATCACCGCTATTACTTTTCATATTACTTCTATAATCAGCCCTTTTAATTAACATTAAAACATGAGCATAACAATATGTTATAATTGATAATGTTAACAATACTACTGAAATAGCGAGTATTGAAAAAAATTTATCAGTATAATCAGGTGCACACCTAAAATTAATAAATTTATTATTATTATTAATAAAAAAAAATTTTTTTTTAATATAAAAATTAAAA